GTGCTTTACTAGTGATTTTTTACTTGACTGTTAACTTCTGTTCCCGGCTGAGGGTGAACCCTTCGCACACACAGGCAGAACTCTGCTCCGTCACACAGCACCCGAGGAGATGTGTGAATCGAATGGAAGAAACCAGGAAGCAGAGCCCAGTGAGGGCAGGAGGAGCCCGGAGCAGAATCACAGAATCCCAGACTGGTTTGAGTTGGAAGGGACCTTAAAGCTCATCCAGTCCCAACCCCCCTGCCAGCAGCAGGGACACCTTACACTAGACCAGGTTGCTCAAAGCCTCATCCAGCCTGGCCTTCAACACTTCCAGGGAGGAGCAGCCACAGCTTCCTTGGGCAACCTGTTCCAGTGTCTCACCACCCTCACACTAAAGAACTTCTTCCTAATATCTAATCTAAACCTCCCCTCTTTCAGTTTAAACCCATTTCCCCTTGTTCTGTCATTAACTGCCCTTATGAAAAGTCCTTCCCCAGCTTTCTTGTAGCCCCTTCAGGTACTGGAAGGCTGCTCACCACACTGCTCGACTGGAGCTCTCCCTCCAGCTGGAATATGCCAAACCAGACCTGCCACCTCTGCCCACAGATGCCCTTTCACTGCGAGGCCCGTGGGAGGATAGGCAGCAGGCCACAAGTTGTACCTTTATATTTTTTCCCAGCTGACCTGTGATAGTAATTTTGAATCCATCAAGTTCTCACTAACAGCAGAGCCTCTTACGTTGTACATACAGGGAATGGCATCTGATCTCTACTGGGACAGCCAGCCACCGATGATTTCCCCTTGCCATCCCTTAGAGAGAGATTCACCAACATCTGTCCTTCATCACGTTGCCTATGAAATAGCACAACTTGCACACATGTCACTACGGTTTCAAGCACACTCTGTGTCCTCCCGCAGAGAGGCCAAGTCATAACAGTGCTCCATTCAAAGAAAAGGCTTTTCTAAGGAACCTAAGAAATCATTTCACAGTTCTTTTTGTTAAAAGAAAGTCTTAGTAAGATAGTAGTCACTCCCAAATACTGAAACAAACTACAATTAAGGCCTTCTTGTATTATTCTGACTCCTCCATCCCACAGCACTAATCAAGATCCATCTAATTACCCACAGTAGAACAGTAGCTGTGGACAGATGAGCTCTTTCAGCTCCAACTGTGCCGAGGAAAGATCTGCACTAGTGCTATAAAGTTACATGAAATTATTACTCCTGCCCTTCCCAATGGAAACCCTTTGGCAGTTGTGGATAAACTACTACCCATGTAGTACTACCCTAGTTGTGGCTACTACCCATGCTACTGGAGCCTCTTAGGTGAGGGTACCAAAATGCCATGGTTACTAGGGATCTTCGTTGGTAATCTGCAGCCTATCCCCCAAGTCCTTCATTTTCCTCTACTTCATGTGTGGAGCAATGCTGAGGGAGAATCAGGACCAAGCACTGAATGATGCCATCAGAGAAGGCCTGCATTTTGTTGTCCTACAGATTAGACAATGAACAGCGTGTGAGATATGAACAGCTGGAAAAGAAAAACATAACTTTATGGTTCCAACAAAGAGCCACCAAGAGCTCCATCTTTGTCCAACAGTGCCTCAATTTTAGGGTGCTCTGTTCTCAGTATCTCCCCTGCAACAGTCACATCAATGCAGTATTTCCAGAACAGCAGCTGTCCCACCTGCTAAAAGGAGAAGTCGAGAACCAGAAAGGCCAGTACAGGTAACCAGTCCTTCCAATAGGTCTGTCTGTTCAAAGCTGCAAGTCTCTTTTACTGTAGTTTATCCACAACTGCCAAAGGGTTTCCATTGGGAAGGGCAGGAGTAACGATTTCATGTAACTTTATAGCACTAGTGCAGATTGAGGCAAAACCAAGAGTTTCTCAAAGCAACCCCACACCAGCAAAGACTGGACACTGACCCACTTGTATTTAAATATTTCACTGGCCACATGGATTTGTTTATCCTGTATAATGACACCAAGATGAGTGCTGCAGTTGACAGGCTGGAGGGACAGGATGCCATCCAGAGGGACCTGGACAGGCCTGAGAGGTGGGACCGTGCAAACCTCATGAAGTTCAGCAGCCCAGAGGCCAATAACCGTGTCCTGGAACATCTGCTCAGCTGTCTCCTGCACCAAGGGAGAGTTGTGTTCCAGTGTGAAGCAAGTCCCCTTCCATCCTACCCTTACACACACTACACCTACAGCTCAGCTGGTCCACCCTGAGGCCAGCTTCACTCACTGAGGTGGCTGGTGCAGAATTACACAAGTGAGGCCCCAAAGAGAAGTTTAAAAGAGGAAGGAAATGGGGCAATTTCATAGGAAAAGCATGGGAGATTCTGTAAGAAGAAGGCAAGCTCCACCGCAGAGTAAATGAAACCTTCGCTAGTCCATGCTCCACCTCAGTCTGCAGATGATATTACGCTCACTCATCGGGTTCAGGCAGGTGGTACTGACCCACAGGTTCTATCTACATAGAGGAACTGAGCAATTTCCTATGTTGCAACTGCTCTACTCCCCACCGTGCCATCCTTCATGCTGGACAGACATGCTGGGTCTACAAATCTGAGCCTTCTCCTGAAAATCAAAAGGTTTTCTTGACTGATTATCAATCTGTTGGGCAAACTGCATATTCATAAAGAGGCCAAAGAGGAGAGCACATCCCAGAGGAGACCCGCAGCCTCAGAAGTGAAACCACAGGCAGTGATCTGTGCTATTTCCTTTACGACAGGAAAACTCTTGGGCTGATTTTTATAGAGCAAAGTAAGCTGTGGACTCTGTGTAAGTCTAGAAAGCTCCAACACAAACTCACAATTAAATAAACGAGGTACCTCTAACCTGCAGACTTTTCTTTCTCTTTCTGAACACCCATTTGCTATTCAGGCAACCAACTGGTTTCAGATCAGCAACTTTACAGCGTTAGCAGCCAACACCCCTATCACATTTTATGAACCAGCAGTAGCAGGATTTAATGGGAAGCTGTTTCACTTCATAATGCAATTCACATTGTGAGGTACAACTTTTTCCATTATGAAACTATAAAAATATATTCCCAGAGTCTGAATCAATAATTTAAACTGATAATAAAAATAGAATCAAGTGTTATCCAGGAAGACCTGTCCTAGTACTGCAAGTTTAGAGTTAAAAGATTGACTGGGGCAACTCAGGAGGGAGTGTGAGCTCTTCTTAGAGGTTCTCTTCTCTCCACCTTTCTCTGAAGAGGCAACTTCAGGGCCTTTTGCACTTTCCCCTTCGCCACGGTCAGAAGCTCTTTTTAAAGTGAATTTCTTGTTTTTCTTCAGTGAGTAAAATGCCCGCATCAAGTCCTCCACCTCCCACTGCTCTTCCTTCCGCTTCCTACAGCAGTGCAGTGCAGCAGGGTCTATGGGATGAGCTTCAGTGTTGAAGACGTATCCTCCAGCATTCAAAACACATTCCCCATACGGTGTAATCACCACATCAAAGACTGATCCATCATTGTGAATGAAGTTGTCTGGGTCAAACAGCAAGTACAAGTATTTTACTGTTTCAGCCAAAAAGAAGGATTCCATGCGATTATCCAGTCTGTGATCTCTCAAGTCTTTGATCTACAAGAGAAAAAAATACTGTGGGTTACAGTTATATTGAATTCAGTAAGTTAAGAACTTAGAGGGAAAAGTAAAACCAGCTTGCAAGTGATTTCAGTTGAACAGCACACTATGGCACCAATTCACCCTGTATTTTAAAGAGTTGTACACAAATCCATCAACAAGGTTTCAGATGTTTTCAGTTAGTATCATCTAGTGACAAGGAATGGGAAACTAACAGTCAGGAGAAATGCACTTCCTACCTGGGGAAGGAGAAGTGAGTAAGCTTCCCATCATTTCGCCCACTACAATAAAATCATAAGGCTTTTACCTGCTTCCCAACTCACAAGGCCTAACACCCAATACTTCTAAGGAGTTTTTGGTAAACCAGAGCTTGACAGTATGTTTGAAATCTTCTATTAAGTGATTTTAGAGAAATTAGTCACTGCAGTTCTCTTGTGTTTGATCAGATTTTCAAGACACAGTGGGAAAACAGAATCACACAACTGGCAGGCAGAAAGCCTGCCTATGAGCCCTCCTGCTGAGCTGGAACACCTAGCAGCTACCAAGATACAGGAGGCAGGAGAAGCTTCTGATGCATTCCCATGTTTTGGGCTCTGGTGACACAGCCAAAGACAGAATTTATCCCACTGTTCAGGCTGTGAGGGAAGTTACTACAAGAAACATGACCAGCAGTTCTGATATTGGCTTCACAGAGAAATACCACAGGTTGGTTTGAAAAAGAAGTCATGTTTCGATCAAAGTTTCAATGGCAAAACATCATTCCTGAGAACGCTTCCTAAAAGCTGATTTTTAGCAGCCATTTAGCCAACTTAGGAGTTCACAGAATCACAGAATGTTGGGGATTGGAAGGGACCTCAAAAGATCATCCAGTCCAATCCCCCTGCCGGAGCAGGAACTTAAATGAGATCACACAGGAAGGCGTCCAGGTGGGTTTTGAATGTCTCCAGAGAAGGAGACTCCACCCCCTCCCTGGGCAGCCTGTCCCAGGGCTCTGTCACCCTCACTTTTTTGAAATTTAAGCAGAACCTCCTGTGTTCCAGCTCACACCCATTGCCCCTTGTCCTACCACTGGGCATCACTGAGAAGAGCCTGGCTCCATCCTCATGACATTTGCCCTTAACATATTTATAAACATTAATGAGGTCACCCCTCAGTCTCCTCTTCTCCAGGCTAAAGAGCCCCAGCTCCCTCAGCCTTTCCTCAGCAGGGAGATGCTCCACTCCCTTCATCATCTTGGTGGAACTTACAGTTACAAATTGAGAGCACTTGGGAGCACTTACAGTTGCAAATCCACAGTCCACCTTGCTGATTTTCTCTATTGACTCCACTGCGTCTCTTCCCAACTCTAAGAGTGTAGGATCTCTCGTAGCACGGTACAGATACATTGCACTCTCAATCAGCTCTGCAAAAACAAACAACAAACTAACATTTGCAAGCATAAAGATTACCAAACCACATACACAGGGAAGACAAGATATTCCTTGAACTAATTTAACAATACTAAACAGCCTAGTTTGCCTCATATTTCCTCTGGCTCAAAGCACAGACACTTGCTTTTACTAAGGATGTGCTACAAAGAAATTCACTCTAATGAGATTGCATCAGCTCAGGTGAGAGTGAGCAACGCTCCCCTCCCACGTTTAGAGAGTGGGAGGGGAACAAGAGAGAAAAGGATTAACACTCAGTTGTTAAAGGAAGAAAAGATGCTTCTAAGAAAGGATTACAAACAAGAAATTCAACCCCCAAAATACAGTTTTTAGCCAACATGTAAGCCTCTCAAACAGGGGTATGTAAAACACCACAAAACCAGGCGCTATCGAAACAGTCTATATAGGCAACACGTGCACTGTGTTCACTTTACTATGTCTTTGTGGATGAATTTGAAATACAATACATTTGAAAGTTACTGCTGATGAGTATTTTTGGTAAAAGTATCCAATGGGGATGTCACCTGAACACTCAGATCAAAAGGAAATTAATTATTCTCACTTAAAAACTTTTCCTGACCTGATAATCAGGTGTGATTGTTTGTTTTTGTTTTTTAAATTTGGAGTTGTAAAAAAACCCAACCAATCAAAAAAAAAAAAACCATCAGAAAAAAAGACAGATCATTTCACTGCAGTATTACAGACAACATATAATTCCTCTTATACACTGAGCTCTACTAGCACAGCTAGAATTAGTTCATTTCAGGAACTCAACAGAACTCGAATGGTTCTATTCATACTCACTGTCACTTCCTAATTTTAAGGACACAAGCAGCCACATCAACATTTTGGATGACTTTAAAAAATATCAGAGAATCTAACACTTAAACACATCAAATTGTGAACTCAATTAATTAACAGGCCCTCTTTATATAGTAACACTATAGTTTTCTTCCTTTAAAAGGCAGCCCTGCCTTTGCCAATGGCAGAAAGCAAAATGTGTAGCTTTGACTATGGAAATCATTGGTCAAATGCAGGCAGGAACTAAGTCAAAGCAAAACTGGGGAGGAACTTTTGGAGGGCAGGTGTTGCTAACATCTGCTCACACCACCAGAGCAAAAGCAGGGCTCCATGCTGCTTTCTATTTCATTTCTGCTTACCAGGCCTGAGTGGATATCCTTCTCTCTTGTCCACCGTGTAGCCCTGGGGAATGTTGTAGAACTCAGGCAGCCCACCAAACTGCTTCCAGACAGTGTAGTAGTTGAGGAAGGTTCTCATGGCATTATCTACATCCCCAATTAGGCTCTGAGAGGGAGGAAACAATTAGCAAAGCAACATCTGGGTGAAGAAGAAACAGCAGAGGAACTGATGCAGTAACACTCCTATAGTCAAAACAAGAGATGGTGACAGCAATCAGTTGTTCATCAGGTCTGAACGGTGTCATATTTAGCCATGATGCCTTAAGAACAGGTAGGACTAAGAAGACAGGTGCTGCTTTTCTGTTGGATCACATTCCACACACCTGAAACAATATGAAATCTCTCTGATTTTTAATTAACAGAAGGCTGGCTTTCTTCAGTCAACATTTCTTTTAGTCAGTCATAGCATCCAGTCTGTGTCAGTGGAAATGCCAAAGTCCCAAATCAAACATAAGTACTGATAAGAAAGCAAACCTCTTAACAGGAAAACATTCACACAAATAAAACATTTATGAGGTGGTGGGAAAAAGAGGTGTGATTTTCTTCTTCCTTATGTTCCCATCTGGATTATGAAACCACTATCAGTGGAGTTTGCTGCCACAAAACTGCCCTTCCATCATGCTTAATGGGAGGCTTTTTTTATAGACCATAGATAAAGTCAACATCTGCTCTTCCACAGACTCACAACTACTGTAGATTTTACCAGAGATCAAAACAAACTTTTAAACCAGCACAGATTAGGGTTATATTTGTAACTTTTATATTAAAGACTGACCCAAGTCAGATGAACAAAATATGCTACTGGTATGACAGCTCTTACCTGTAGGCCTGGCCAGTAGGCCTCCAGGGACTGAAAAACAGGCATGGACACTGTTCCTTTGTACATCTGAACCCAGAGGTACCAGTCATCAAACTTTGTGTAATTTTTGATAGCTTTGTTATATTCTATAAAGAAACATAGATGGGTAGGTAATCCAACAAAAAGAATTATTATTATTTTTTTTAAGAATGAGAGAAGCCCCTTTTTTACCTGAGCCATGTCAAATAAAGGACTTCTCAGGATGCTCACTTTGGTAACTCTCTCTTATCACAGACTGTTCACAACAAAACCTTCAGGATGTCTTGAATGAACCTGTTAGATTCTTTATCTTCCACAGTCCCACATGCAAAGTTTTTACAGGTGCAGTCAGGGAGGAATTCCTGGGACCCTTCACACAGAAACCAAACTGCTCACCTAGAAACATGGACATCAGCTCCTTGTCCTGCAGGAGAATGGCTCCTTTAACAAGGTATTCAAAGTAGGAGTCCACTCCAGCCCCAATGCCAGCATCTTGGGCCACCCACTTGGCAGTTAACACATCAATGTGGTTACCAACCTGGAAGAAGTGAAAGGAGGAGGAAGGACAGAGTTAAAATGGAAATAAAGCTTATCTACAAAATAATAATTAAGAAAATCCCCACACAGGAAACCCCTGACCTTTTTTTAGGCTATTTCACAGATTCACAATGTCTATTCCAACCAGTGTTTGCTCCATTACATGTTTATCAGTGTCAGAGAAGTACAAACTGTAGAAAATATATAACATTGGAATTTTATGCTTCCAATGTAAATGCTGGAGGATAGAGGCCAAGGACATCAAAGGCATGAGATCTACCATGCTAATATTTAAATAGATCCTTCAAAAGTGGGACTCTTCAGCTTAGAAAGAGACCCAGCTGATGGAGAATAAAATACACATTTGTGACTTGCTTAGCAAAGATGAAAAAAGACCCAGCTATTCAGTTTTGAACAAGGATTAGGGGTATAAACCAAAAATAAACAGATTCCAAAGCAAACAAAGGAAACACTTCTTCATACAGTGTCTGAATAGATCTGTTCCACTTCATATATGCGACACCAGGAGTTCACATAGGTTCAAAAAGCAGAAATTAACTGAAATTAACTGAAGAAAGTTAAATTAACTGAATAATAGAAATTAACTGAAGAAAGACTGACCAGGGGACAGTGAACACTGAGGTAACACTTCTAGCTCTGGATATTCCTAAAACACCAAAGCTGTAGAGGCTGGTAATATCTGGGTGCACTTGCCACGTTCCTACTCTCTTCTGCAGGCCATTGTCACACCAGGCATCAGACAGACCTTTTATTTAATCTGTGACAGCTGCTGTTACAAAAAACTGCAATCCCCAGTAGAAGGCATTTGTCTCCCAGCCACATCTGTTACGGAACAGAACAATGGCATAATGTTGGGTGGCACCATTAAAGCGGAGATGTGGAGGCTGCAGGTGTTCAGGAACAATGTCAAACATGCAACTTCAGCCCAGTTACTGGCACTGTGATTATTTATCTAGTTCTCTCTCCTTTCTGTTTATGCTTTTTTTTTTTTTTTTATGCTTAGAATTGCATCCACAAAACTATACAAAAAGCAGAGCAACAAATTCAAAGTCATTCCTCACTCACCAGCCCAATATCTGACCGATTTTTCCACAGTGCCTTCAAAGCCTTCCTGGCAACATCCTCAAACACTGGGTCACCAGTAAGGTGGCTTAAAGTGGCAAATTCCACTATAAATGTACCAATTCCAGCAGTACAGGTAACTGGGGTCTCTCCAGGGTTTACTCCATGCAACAAGTTCACTGTTCCATATGGCATCCCGGTTGGGGTCTGAAAAGCTGAAAAGAGTATTTTGGGTTCACATGAGTGTTTGCTGTTATGTCCAAGAGGTTGTAAAGTAAACAGGTGCCTCACATTCCACCCTCCACAGGCAGGAAGCAGGACTGGAGCAACTGCAAATGAAATGAGTGTGGTCCTAGGAGGGACAGATAGGGCATCCCAAGTGACACTCAGTCCTGGGAAGGTACTGCAGATCTCATCCACCTTGCCCAGAGTAGGCAACTGCACCCCTACTTTTTTTTACAGCACAAGCAGGGCAGATAAAATGGAACTACACACACTGAGCTTGTAATTACTCGGTGGTAGCCCAGGGCACACACCACACAAGCAAACACTGCCATGTTATCAGGGCACACGTCCCAGCAGCAGCCCATAAAGGGGTAGATATGGATGCATCTTCTTGTCTTTACAAGCTGCTGTTTCACAGGCTTGATTTGTTATTTATATGAAATATATTTCCCCTCAACAAGCAACAAACAAACTGATGTGTTCAACACATACAACACTTGGCATGCCTATATGCTACTGGTATCCTGCTCTTCACAATGTTTTCCCCACAAGCTAAACTTGCTTTGAGCTCAGGGAAGGCAGGACTGGTTTATGAGTTTACACATCACGCAGTGTCATCTTCATCAAACACATCTCAGGAACTAGAGGACAGTGACACAAAGCAGATGAGTTCTCACCCGGGAGGAGTTTGCGAGCTGCTTCCTCTGCCATCCTCAGGAGAGGTCCAGAGCATGGCCAGCCCACTTCTACTTCAACGCCAGCCTTCTTCGACAGCAAGTGAGCAGAGAGGAGACCACCTACCACTGGAAGGTGGACAGTAAGAATCTCATTAGAGAACATGAGGAGGAATGAATTCTCAATCCAGTTCTATTTATTTGTATTTATCATGATGCAGAGGCTGTGTTTATGGAGAAGAACAAGGAGATGGTTCATCTGTAACAGCCTAATTCAATATGCCCCAAGAGTGGTTTGCTTCTTCCTGCCTGTTTGCAATGGGTAGCAGATACCTGTCTTCCATTATCTTAGAAGCATCAGATCCTACTTGCCCTACAGTACCTGCCCTGCAGACAATCAGAGAGCTAACAGTATAATGAACGTGAATGTCTGTGATAGGAACTCTGCTTCATTTCTTCCAGACAGCTTAATATTGTGTTTGTGTAGAGTAAAACAGCATGCCTTCCTAAATTCCTTGGAGAAAAATGTCTAGGTCAGAGTCAAAAATTTCAGTGTGACTGACAGAGGCAGGGAGTATCAGCCCTTTCACAGGCTTGTCCACCATCACAAACAAGCACAAACACGGGGAAATTGCTCTGCTGCAAAAATTGGCTCAGCCATATTTGAGAGGAGAAACCAAAAAAAGCCTAACTAACATCCTGGAGGGATTGAAGAGTCGTGCAGACATAGTGCTGAGGGACATGGGTTAGTCAGGGACTTGTCAGTGTTGGGTTCGTGGTTGGACTCAATGGAGCTTAAAGGGCTTTTCCAGTTGAGGAAATTCTGGGATTTTGTTTTGTTCCCTGTCAGTGTTTTTTATGTAGATAGCACTGAAGCAGTTATGCATTCAACTGGGTACCAGACTCCAAAGGCCTTTGTGATTTTCAAGAAAAAAAGACAAGTTTCACTTTATGAAGCTAAAGCAAGAAATTAATAATCTCTACTCAAAAAACAGTACATAAAAAAGACACTATATAGCCTTTGTACTGTTTCAGCGGAAAAGATGTTTATTCAAAGCTCAAATGCTGGCACCAGGTTACTGAAACTGCCACGTCTACTTCCGTTTGCATTGAGGCAGGAAGCAAAAACGCCACGTGCAAAGACAAAAAGGAAGTGACATCTGTTTGGGATTCTTCTCTGTGTTTGCATCACAAATTCACTCTGACCACCACCTCGTGTTATCTCTGGGTACAGTTCAGAGACTTGTACAGGAAGGAAACCCAGCATAAACACCACATAAAACCCACCTCACCTCGAATGTTAGTTTCAAAGACAGATGCATTGACATCAATATCAAAATCCACCCCTTCCTGCAGCACGCTGACGACTCGCTGGAACTCAGAGACATTTCCCAAGATCTGCATGGGAGCAGGACAGCAGAGAGTAAGGCTTCAAGTTTACAGGGAAACAAAGGTGTAACTCAGTGTTAGGGGCTAATTCTAATTTTGTCTGATTATTTTGTGAAATCATTAATTACAAATAGTAGTAAAAAAAGGAACTGACAGTTAAACTGACACTTTAATCTACTTTCAGAACGTTTTATTCCCACACTTTAGGTCTTTATCCCCGAGTCAGAAGGTGCCAGGGGTGGGCAGCAGCTCTGGCCACCTGCCCCCCCAGGGCTGGAGCGAAGTGACACACAATAGACATTTGATCAATTAATGACTGATTTTC